ATTGCCTTGGAAAAATGGTTTGTATCGAAAGGATGTTGATGGTTCAAGCTTTACATTGTGGAATCCACAGCAAGTATTATCCTTTGGATACCAAAGCGTTACATAAAGTGAGACTCTGATAAATCAGAATGCAAGCTACAGGTTGTTCTGATTTTGTATATCAACCAATATGATAATACGTAATGTATACCAGTATATTATACCAACAATTTGGTATATAACACTATTACATAAATCAATAGTAAAGGTATATTATACTTATTTGGGGGGCTGGGTTGCTATTTATTGGAATTTTGTAATCATTTTGTTAGGTGAGTACATTGCTTGTATTTTTGCATCATTTGTGACTAAACTTATGTTACCCTTTGCATTAGTTTGACTTCACTCCTTAAAAGAGAGCTTCGTCTTCACTCTTTCAAACTAAAATAAACCTGTGAACTCACTGCGCCAATCAGTGTTCGTCGGCCAAATTTGACCGACATTCTATATATGGTCATTCCTTCTGACGTCATCTTTGACCCCAGAATTGACCAATGACATGCGCATATTTAATTAGAACGCATTTGGCGTATTTGGCAATAACTCAAATTCCGCTTGCCCGATTTTGTTCATATTTTGTACACATATATCCAATGGGGGTAGAAGTTCTGCTCGAAAACCCATTTTCAAAATGGCCGTTCAAAAAAAAGTGCCGATTTTACAGTAATTTAGGTACTGCATATAAAACTGTAATTAGCAATATGTTTTAAATGTAAAAAAGTTATATAAAACATTGAGTAAGCTAAAAATGTAAATATAGAAGAAATACATGGCAGCCATCTTGAAAAATGGACGTCATTTTACGATTTTTGCTGTAACTTGAAAAGTAATATAGCGATTTTTTTTTGGGTAGTAGGCGGCCACTTTGAAAATTGGCCGCCATTTTTATGTGTGTTATTTTACATTTTTTACTATAACTCAAAAAGTAGTAGAGCGATTTTGTTCATATTTTATATGTGAATACAATAAGCATGGCACACTGTTTAATGTCACTTTGGGTAAAGGTGGCCATTTTGAAAAATGGCCACTATTTTTACGTTTTTTACTATAAATTGAAAAGTAGTGGAGCAATTATGTTCATATTTGATATGTGAATAGTGAATACTCATGAGCCTTGCACACTGTCTCATGACACTTCGCGTAGTAGGCGGCCATTTTTAAAAATGGCTGTCATTTTTACATTTTTTACGATAACTTGAAAAGTATTGGAGCGATTTTGTTCATATTTGATATGTGACTACTTTAAGCATGGCACATTGTCTAATAAAACTTTGGGGAGTAGTCGGCCATTTTGAAAAATGGCCACCATTTTTATGTGTTATTTTACATTTTTTATTATAACTCAAAGTAATATAGCGATTTTGTTCATATTTGATATGTGAATACTCATAACGATTGCATACTGTCTTATGACATTTTGGGAAGTAAGCGGCCATTTTAAAAAATGGCCAGCATTGGCGATTTTTTAAGAATTTTATATGTGGCTACTTAAAAGCATATTACTTCTTCTGATGACAACTTGGCTAGTGGTCAACCATTTTGAAAATGGTGGCCTCTTATGGGTGTTATTTTATGATATTTGCTATATATTTCAAATGTAAAAATGCCAGCCATTTCTGTTTGATGGGATTCGCTACACTTTGGCGTTGCCGTTGTTCTGGTTACCCAAACTGTCACCGGTACCTGTCGTGGGGGCAGGGCTACTAAACTGTAATATGGTCTCTACTAGGCAGAGTGTAGTTTAACTAGACTCTGCACGCAGGGTAAAACTTATTGTTCATGAATTTCAGTATTGTTTATTATGTCACCACCAAAAGTGGTGACATATTGTTATGGTCTCCGTTTTTTATGTCACCACCAAAAGTGGTGACATATTGTTATGGTCTCCGTTTTTTTTTATGTCACCACCAAAAGTGGTGACATATTGTTATGGTCTCCGTTTTTTTTGTGACGGCGGTTGGTGGTTGGAGGTTTGCGTCCGGCGTCCGGTACCCTTTGCATTCGTTTGACTTCACTTCTTAAAAGAGAGCTTCGTCTTCACTCTTTCAAACTAAAATAAACCTGTGAACTCACCGCGCCAATCAGTGTTCGTCGGCCAAAATTGACCGACGTTCTATATATGGTCATTCCTTCTGACGTCATCCTTGAGCCCGGAATTGACCAATGACATGCGCATATTTAATTAGAACGCATTTGGCGTGTGTTTCTTCAAGCTCGTCCATGGTGGAAGAGAGGTCAGCGCGTAGGTCAAAAGTTATTTATTACGCAAACTGTCACCGGTACCCGTCGTGGGGGCGGGGCTACTAAACTGTAATATGCTCTCTACTAGGCAGAGTGTAGTTTAACTAGACTCTGCACGCAGGGTAGGCGTCCGGCGTCTGTAACAATTTCTTACAACTTCCTATAACTTTACAAATACTGTTTAGACTGACTTCAATTTTTTTCTAAATCATCTACATGTTCTCAGAAGTTCAAATCTGACTTTAGATTTGACATTTGACCTTCAATGACCTTCTCAAGGTCAAAAAGGTCTTTTTTCAACTTGCTTCACATTGACTAAATTTTTTTCAAAATCATCTACATGTTCTCAGAAATTCAAATCTGACTTTAGATTTGACTTTAGATTTGACATTTGACCTTCAAATCTGACTTTAGATTTGACATTTGACCTTCAATGACCTTCTCAAGGTCAAAAAAGGTCAAAAAGGTGTGTTTTCAACTTGCTTCAAATTGACTAAATTTTTTTTTCAAAATCATCTACGTGTTCTCAGAAATTCAAATCTGACTTAAGATTTGACTTAAGATTTGACATTTGACCTTCAATGACCTTCTCAAGGTCAAAAAAGGTCAAAAAGGTCTGTTTTCAACTTGCTTCAAATTGACTAAATTTTTTTTTCAAAATCATCTACGTGTTCTCAGAAATTCAAATCTGACTTTAGATTTGACTTAAGATTTGACATTTGACCTTCAATGACCTTCTCAAAGTCAAAAAAGGTCAAAAAGGTCTTTTTTCAACTTGCTTCAAATTGACAAAATTTTTTTTTCAAAATCATCTACATGTTCTCAGAAATTCAAATCTGACTTTAGATTTGACATTTGACCTTCAATGACCTTCTCAATGTCAAAAAAGGTCAAAAAGGTATTTTTTCATCTTGCTTCAAATTGACTAAATTTTTTTTTCAAAATCATCTACATGTTCTCAGAAATTCAAATATGACTTTAGATTTGACATTTTACCTTCAATGACCTTCTCAAGGTCAAAAAGGTCTTTTTTCAACTTGCTTCAAATTGACTAATTTTTTTTTTCAAAATCATCTACATGTTCTCAGAAATTCAAATCTGACTCTAGATTTGACATTTCACCTTTAATGACCTTCTCAAGGTCAAAAAAGGTCAAAAAGGTCTGTTTTCAACTTGCTTCAAATTGACCTTTAGGTGGTGACATTTTGTCATGTTAATGCCTTGTTATCAATAAGTACTCAAAAGAGGTATGTTAAAAGACATAATATTGTGGTGAGGGTTTTATTTTTCAACAAGATAATGCCTCTTCCCATAGATCAAAGGAGACATTGGCATTCCTTCACGAACAAGTTTTCAATTTGACTGATCCTGATGCTTGGCCACCCAGCAGCCCCGATGCTTATGTACATGGAGCTATCTCGAGGAAATGGTGTACAATCACAAGCATCCAATAAAAAGTAGTGATTAGCTGAACCGCGTAATCCTAAAGTATTGCAACAGAAATCTGTTGATAGATGGCTCTACCGCTTGAAGCTTATTGTTGACGCAAAGGGCGGGGCATATTAAGCAATTTTTTAAATAAATAAATTGTAAAATGTTATTAAACAACACTGAAATTCATAAACAATAAGTTTAGTCACACAATGATGCTAATATACAAGCATGTATTCACCTTACAAAATGATATTCTATAAATAAAAAGTTTACATAATTCCAAAGATTTACTGTTTTCTCCCTCAAATCTAGAGACCTTAAAACGCGACCCAGCCTCTCAAATAAGTATAATTTACATTTACTATTGATTTTATGACATAGTGTTATATACTAAATTGTTTGAAACTATTCAACCTTTAAAATGATATATAAGTCAATGTACCATATTGAACATAAGTATTTTATCCTGATTTGAAGTTGGGTATTGGTTTTTGGACCACCCTGTATATCTTAGAGCTTGAGCCAGTTTTGACATTTGTGTCATTTAAATTAATAATGCTACATATTGTGAATAATAATACGTCTATAAAAATGATGTTATTACTGTTATCCATCGTCTAAGATGTTTAAACAAAGCTAGCTTAAAACTAATGATAATGATGAGAATATACATCAAAGAATTCAGACTTAACTCAAATATAGGAGCTATTGAAGGAGTTTAATAATACTATAGAATGTATCTTTGTAGAATTAACTCAAAGACAATGATGAAATTCAAAAGAGCAAAATATGTAATTCTTTCAGCAGTGTGTTTCCCACAGTCTGTTAGCAAGTGATGGCATGATATACCCTGCACGCAGAGTCTAGTTAAAAAGTAGCCGCTGACTATTATCGTCTATATTACAGTTTAGCAGCCCCGCCCCACGACTGATGCCCTTGATAGCTCTGGTCATGAATCATTTTAAAAAGTCGTCTTATTAAAAATATATGATTCCTTATGCTCAGAGCCTAGTAATATTGTTGAAGTAAATTATTGAAAAGGGTATTTAAATAAAACGGGGTGTAATGGTTTTGCATGGTATTATTACTCTTATTATTAGCATACAACATATGTTTCTAATTATACTATTTTACTGAAATTTTACCTGCCTCAACTTTCTTTCCAGGAAACAGGAAAATGATTTCAATTAATTTTACCCTGCAAGTTATCATATTTCTATATTATGATATTGCAAATATGAAATTCTAGCAGAGCTGAAACTCTCTCATAATTGCTTCACTTTCAGGAGCTGAAGATGTTCAATACATATGGTGTTAGACAAACAAGCCCTGGATGGACCTATGATACCTTATTACATTAGTGCAGTCATGATGTGCATGCTGTGGTACCAATGTGTATAGGAATGGATCAACCTTGGTAAGTTAATAACCAATGTTAAGTCTCTGGATGATAGAATTATGTGCTAAATAAGATGCCATGGCACAAGGGGTTATAAATTATACACGGGATGATACAGGAAATGAAACCCTCGAATTTTGATAGGATGCAATCCTCTATTTGGATTTGGTTTAGATTTTTTTCATAAAAAATGTTTTATTTGATAACTGAAGTACCAGTTGTCTCATTTGGTCCTTTTTATGCTGATGCTTTAGGGGCACAGTAACAGCATGGTACAATCTGTAAAGATTTCTATGATTTTTTTGAACTGATGTTATTCTAAGGAATGAGATCTATTTAAAATGATGCAACATCACCAGCATGCAAAAGTCAATGTTTCTATAAATCAAGCAGTTTTGGTCTACAGGACCTGTAATAAATGTAATATTATCACTACAAAATATTTGTTGATGCTGTTTTTTTAAAATGAAAATCATAGATAACATAATAGGTTTTATCATACTATGAGTCTTTTTAATTTAAGTGTAAAGTCTCACATGAAAATATAAATGTTGCAGATTTGTTTAACTTTTTAGCAAAAATCTTGCAATCTCATCTCTACTCTTTTTGTCTATTTTATGGGCGTGGCTGTGTAGAAAAGTATAAAACCCTCATCTAATAATCTAGGTATATTTATGTACTCTATGCAAAACTGAAAGATTTACCCCATGTATGGAATGTACCTGTAAATAACATGAGACTCCAATCAGGAAGCCATTAAAATTTCTGAACATACTGAATACCTTTATATGTGGATTGTGGTTTTACCTTAAGATTGTGATCCTGAAATTAATGATATGTGGAATGCAATAATTACTTAGTTAATGGTTAATGCTTCCATGTATTATATTAAAATGGTAATACAAGTACATTGTTATTATCGTTAGTACAGATAAGTCACTGCAGAATACATAAAGGAATTGGATGAACAAATTATGTAAAACCAATTCTCTGATTTTGTATGATTACTCTATTACTTCAGAGAGTGACAGATGTAATACAGATAAATGTTCTAAGTAAAATCTACAAGTATTTGCTGATTAGTGAAATATCATTATTAAGATGCCTCTTGCACTATATACAATTATTGACCTCTCTAGAGGTTTACTGTCAAAATTATATCCCGAGACTGTAAACCGAGACCGTAGGTCGAGGTTTACAGTCGAGGGATATAATTTTGACAGTAAACCGAATGGAGAGGTCTATAATTGTTTTGTTAGTCCGAAGAATATCTTAGATTTTTCTGACCCTTGAAGTTGACTTGAAGTTGGATCCAGACCCTCGAGACGTTCATGTTGTATTTCAGTATATCGGCAGTAAGTTCACTCAATGGAGTCAAATTACTCTCCTGGGCGAAGTCCACTAAAAGCTTTGTACAAAGTTTTAGATTTTTCTTCGTATTTTGACTGTCTTTACTCTCTAAGAGACTAATAATATCCTCATCTTCAACATTTTTGAAACGGCTAGTGCTAGCGGCGGCCATTTTATCGTCTGATAATGGCGTCATTTTAGTGGAATGCTGGGAATATTATTCACCGGCAATGCATTGCGCGGTGTACAGTTAAAATTATTCACCGCTCGTTGACCAATCAAAATCGAGTATTTCAACTGAGGTACTAACAATACATATTATCCTAGCCTTTCTTGTAGAACTTTCTTCAATATTGCTTAAATACAGTATTTTGCAAAGTCTAAGAATATGGCGAAATAATCTACAATAAAAGTAAGTGTAAGTAGGACAGCTTTGGTACCTAGAAAACAGTGTTCCACTTTGGGGGTGTTCTACCCAATGAGTTTTGTTTTACATCATAGTCTTCATTAGTTCAACAAGTTAAACCTAGTCTGGGCCTTATTTCTTATCTGACATATCTTGTGGCCCACCCTAGGTTTAACGTCCGTGCCTATTCGGCCCTTGATGCCAAAAATTTAATGGTGCTCTATGGCAGCGCATGAAATTCCATGCGCGTTTAATTAATAACTGATAGTGAGAATTTGCAACAAATGAAAGCATAGCATGGAAGTTAAACCCAATCACGTCAACAAGAACATTCAGATTAATAAATGAAAGCCGTGGTATTGGATTTAACTTGTTGAACTAAGTCTTCATAGACTATTAATGAGAAATGGTTTCTACTTAAGGACATGTTCCATGAAACAGGTTTTACTGCATCTATTTCTTCAATATTATTTGAACACAGTCTTGTGCAAAGCATAGGAAAACACTGTTTTCTATTATGTAGATTAATAAAGTCTTAATAAAGCCTTTGGGGCTTATAATGCCACAGATGATAAAGACATGCTTATTCAATGTCACATTGAATATTGTTGTTGCTTCTCGGGGTTCAGCAACCTTCAGTTATGTCTGATATGGTTTGGCCAATTAATTAATCAATCTCTTGGAAAATGAGATCTGGCATTTAAATTTTATTTTACAAGATATTGATTTAGTACTCTTTGCAAGCTTTGGATTGCCCTTTCCTCTTCAAATTAGAGATGATTCTTGGATTTAATTAGATGTTCAGTATAGAAAGCCATAACATTTTTTCTGCTTATAAGTAGCTTACATCAAGTTCACATTTAAAATCTCATAAAGGTCCATGGAAACTATATTTGAGATTACTGAGATCTTATCAACATTAAAACTCTGAACTAATATATAGTAGTCAGAGTGTAGTTTGGTTAGTTAATGGGAAACCAGGGTAAGTATCAAATAGCAATTATTATGTCACAACCAGAAGTGTTTGGTGGTTGACTGTTTGGTGTCTGTAAAAGTGTCTGTAAAAATGGCGTTTGTGTCTGTAACAAATGACAGGTGGTGACATTTTGCATGTTAATGCCTTGTACTATATCATGAAAGTGGCATTGTATAATGCTGACCCTAAAAAATAAGGGGCTGCATTTCCACCATCATTAAAGTATGGTACAAACCTTTAAGTTAACATGAAAACTTGGAAAAGTTATGCTCCTTCATCCTTCTTCAAAGGACTTCATTTATGCTTAAATTATATACTTGTAAAATATTCTTGCAGCAAGGATGATGCTCCTTGTGCATAAGAAAATTTGTAGCTGCTAAATTGTTACAATCAATAATATGGATTAAACTCAGGATTAGCCAAGTGTATGTAAAGCTCATAACTCAGCCCTGATGAATTGGTCAAGAACTGTGAAGTGTTAATAATATCCAGTCCTTCCAATAAATTGTTGTATAAAAATCAATACAATAGAAGTAATAGTTCTACCAATAAATTGTTACATAAAAATCAATACAATAGAAGTAATTAATAGTTTAAATATGTGCATTGTAGATAAATAATTTATGTTATATAATAACAACTGTTTGCTCATTTTACTAGATTGTTAGTTTTAGATAAGGGTTAACTGTTTCTCTTTGTGAATATATAGAAGCATCTGTTTGTCTGTCTATCTGTCTGTCCGTATATCTGTTTGGGCTGGATAACTCAAGTACCAGTCAACAGCTCAATTCAAAATGGCCACCATAGAAATAATAATGACAGCACAAAATATAATGACATTTCTTTGAAACATACTCTAAACTAGTCTCCATCCCTTCTATAAATCCAGTTTAATGTCAAATAGTTGAAGGATGATAACTTAGAAAAATGTAATGCCCTCATTGAATTTCCTCTTTTCATATTTCTTCATTGACAGTACATCTCTGAGTATTTTACAATCTTAAGAGAATTATAGATTCAAGATATGCTTGCCTTCTAATTTTTTACAACTTGCATCAACATAATACAAGATAAAAAGAAGGAAATGGGGGCCATGCTTAGGCTACGCTTGAAGATAATGAAGACTAAGTAATTGGCAGGGGTGTGGCATCATGCCAAAAGGCTTCTCCTTCAGGAGATAGTGGGATATAGTTAATGTAACTACAGCAACCTAATTAACTGTGGCATTTGCAACGATGCATGCCCTTTAGTCATGGTGTTATTGATATTATTTCTTGTATTTTTAACAAATAGGTGCAAATTACATTTATCTTATTTGCCTTCTTGTTGTAAACCATGTTTACGATTTTCCCGCTGATGAAAATCCAAATGTGATTTTTTTATTTGTCATCATAGGAAGCTACTTTAATTGTTTCTGAATGAAACATTTTATTAAAATATTTATGAATATACTGAGATTCAGCATAGAGTGACCACATTGAGGACATTTTGAAAAGAAAACTGTGTCCAAAGGTTAGAACCCTTGATCCAAGCAATAAAACAGACATGTAGTTGCAACTCTTCAAATGATAGAAAATTAAGGGTTCATTCGATTCACATTCTCTTCATGTCCTAATTAACAAAAGGTGAGAATGTCATGTCTTTATTCTCAATAGAACTTATCATTACAAGGTGACATAAGTGCACACTTCCTTTCGATCATTATTCATCATGATTAGCTCTTCTAATTATGAAAGGAAATATTGAAATAGGGAGATCTTGTATAAGTCAGGCTTTTATCTCTCTTGTAGGCTCTTATTCATTGCAAAAACTCATTTTTTGCAATTTGAACAATATGTGTGTTTTTATTGTATTTTGCCAAAGTGCTGTATTGTTCTCATCTTGTACTGATGTGTGTTTGTGCCTGTCTGTCTGGGTGGGTGGGTAGTTGGGTGAGGGCAGGAGGACAGACAGTTCAATTTGAATTTTTTGCAGATGCAAGAGCAGACTAATATAATGCCAAGATCTGATTAGGTTTTGGGCATTCTGGGTAAATTACATGATGATGGTCATGTTGCATTTTAAAGTACGATATTTATCACTGTGTGTCTTGTTTCCTTTAACTGTATATTAGTTTAAAGTGCATACATTTACATAGAAAGATTGGAGATTTAGAAAAACTTTACTATTGAATTCCTAAATGAATTGGTTAGGTCTTCTGGGTTTTTTTCTGAACCGATATGCTTCTAAGATGTTGCATCTATTAAAAAAGGTGCAAGGCCACCAATGTGCACGTAGTCAATGTTT